CCCCTCCCCAGCCGAAAAGTACGACCCCCTGTTGTTTCACACCGATGCTGTACCCTGTTTGAGGTCAGGGTACGGTACGTCATATGCTGGGGAATTATCAGCGGGGGAGGGAGTCGTGTTTGGTCTGGATTTGATAAGATGGAATCTTTTCTACAAGGTGGGCAGATCCATCCCGTGAAAATTAAGTGAAGTAAGATTCTCAGCGCTCAAAGTACGCAGGTAAGCTAGAGACACGTGAATACTTGAAGTATCTTATCACAGCACATCGTACGGTAGGAATTCCAGCGAGGGTTTTTATTTGGCCGCTAGAGATAGGGCTCTTATTTAGGCTCGGGGAATTCCCGGTTGTGACGTTTCTGGGTTCTTTTCGTCTTATACATGCTGTATCCCCTCCACGTCGCTCGACGCCAGTTTTTTGGTTTTTTTTTCTGAAGAAGACGGGAAATTTCGGAAAACTCTGGAAAATGGTAGGAATCAGGGAATGTCTAGGAAGATTATAGGGACGGGGTGACGATAGCCGTACCGTAGGGTGGTATCTTACAAAATTTTTCCCCACGCTGTGACGTGCCCCGTTTTTGATATCTCCGTCCGCCATTCAATACGCAACTCGACTGCCTGAGGCGTGTGCTGATCTGCGCTCTCTCTTCGCGACAGCGTTCGCGAGGCTTGAACGCAGTGGAACTTCTTTGAGGTAGGGCATCCATCTTCCAGGTTTGGGGAAACTTTGCAAAATACGATCCCCCTCGAAAACTTTCCCTCTGCTACGATCCCTCCCCCTTAATCATACTGCCTACAATCTTCCTGAATTCTCTTTCCACCACTTTCCCGCAATTTCCAAAACTCTCAAGTTCTTCCACGTAAAACAAAAGAAAAAAAATAAACAGCGGTCGGAGGGACGGGGTACAGAGCATGTCATAGAGAAACCCAGAAAAGTCTCCCTGCCGTGAAGATCCTTCCCGAAGAGCATATCATTTCTCTGAGAAGACGCATAATGGTGGGTGGAGATAGCAAAATCGCTGAGCAGTCGTGAGCCTCTCACTTCCCAATCCCCTACTTTCAAGAGGTGAATGTTATATTTTGAGCAGTGGGCCTACCCACCTTGCACACGTAAAGGATTCGCCTCCTTGGTGAACGTTCGGAATTATTTCCACAAGTTTTAGTTCTGCACATAACAAGGGGCAAAATAAGCATTGACAAGAGTAGCTCACTCACATCCTCCATATCACTGCTATTGAACCGATTATGGCTGAGCTTTACACCAGCGGCTGCGTAAAACTGCTCAATACATCGTTCGTATAATTCAGCTGTGGACGGATGTGCGTACGTTTGAAGCATTACTGCTCGTGCCTGCAAAAGAATCGGATAAAGCAACGTCACGTTGTTTTTCTAGCTTACATTCACGGTAAACAAACAACTGCGATGTAGTGGCTAGGAGATCCACATTGCAACGACGGGTAAAGTAACAACGAAGCGCAGCCCAAGTAATGGTTGCCACTGTAATCCGCGCGCCTAGTTCAGTTTAAGCAGGTACTCTTAATTCCCACGTCACACTCCTACCGGCATTGCCCGCGTGTTGTGCGTTTTACTACATTGATTGCATTGCTTGCTGTGCACGGTGCTTCGCGAGCGCCTCAGGCTTAGAGAGGGGAGGGGGTTCCCACGACTACCTGGGTTACGGTAGCAGCGGTTCTCTGTTATGCGAAAGAGCACTTATAAGTGGAGTCCATTGGCGGGCTATCTGCACCAGGACCTGAATTGACTTACCGTGGAAGTGCAACAGTGGACCAGTTAATTAAACAAGGAGCACGACGTATCGTGCGTATTGTGGGGTGAAAAATGGCGTCCAGGCACTGCACAAAGCCCCCTCCTCCTCAAAAGAGGGAAAGTCGGCACAGGAATGCGACAACTGCGCATTCCTGTGCCGACTTTTCCTTTTGTGGAGGAGGAGGCTTAGTTTGGCGTGGCTCCAACCCGATCTCCACCACTTGCTGAAGCGAGCAAGCCACAATAGTAGTAGGAAAGGGGGAGGGTCTGGAGTCTCGCCAAACGCAGTGTTTCCACGAGCGCCGAATATGAAACCAAAATCTTCCGAATGTTTGAATTTCAGAGCGAACGAAAGAAAAGAAGGAATGACTAATTAACGAACCCTTCCAGCAACATGAGCAAATGCCTTGCTTGAATGGCTTGGCTGTGGAGGCGGTACCGAGCGATTGATCGGCGGCATTGAGTACTGCTGAGGATAGGGTGGGAGGCGGCTGAAAAGCTCGACTTCAAGAACCTTTACAGCAACACAACTAAACAGTGACTGGTTTCGAAGGCTCAGTTCTAAACAGTTTTGCACCAATAAAAAGAACTCACGTGTTAGCTTCCATAGCAAATTGGAAAAGCAAGAACGGTGATGATACAGCTTTTGCAACGGCATCGAGGAAACTGACAAAGTACGGCGTTCCTAATTGGACCGATATCGTGAATAACCACCGAATATCCTCAGCAAAGGGCGGGGTCTAAAAACGGAACGTCACAAGAAGTAAAAA